CTCGTCCCTCTGGCTCTCGTACCTTGCCCACAACTCGTCGATTCGCTGCTCGCTCGTTTTGGGATCGACCGGCGGCGTCGGATCTATCCCTGCCGCCTCCATCTCAGTCTGCCTCGCGTGTATCTCATCCAGACGGACTCGCACACAGGCGGACTTCTCCTCGCGGGTTTCTCTTGAGGTTCCTCTCCCTTGTGGCCCCTGGCCTTCCGGAGTCAACGCCTCGACACCCATCCTCTCGCTCATACTCGGCAATGCCGGCGGTAGCCCCTCTTGTACAGGCTCCTCGATAACTGTGCGCTCGGTCGCGGGCATGACTGAGGGTCAATCGTGAATCGCCTCCATCCTCGCTCCCTCACCAGCCCCCTGCTTCTACATCTCTGCCTCATGCTCAGGCACCGCAGTGGTCTCTAGGGGAAACTCCGGAATTTCCTCACTGCCTGGCTCAGGAATCCCCTTTGGCCATGAATGTTGTGCTGGCCTTGGAGCTGGGGAGCATGGAGGGGTATCGTCTCTAACCGTGATCACCTCCTCATCCAGAGGCCATACCGGACCTGGCTGCTCGACTGCCATCCCAGGGCTTTGCGGCCCCTCTTGGTCTCGCGTGTCTGTCTCCGTCTCGAGGTCCAGAGGCTCTTCTAACGGTACATAGCGCACCGGCTCAGCTGAGCCCTCTCCCAACCATAAGGCCTCCCATCGAGATACATCAAGGTGAGTCGCTAAGCTCCGGAAAGGCGTTTCCCTTGGTATGTCCAGCTCCAGCCCTGATGGCGACGGTGAAGATGACCTCAACTCCTCGCTTGTGATCCGCTGAAACTCAACTGCCCGGAGACCACAAGCAGGGAACAACTCCTCTTCCGGTGCGGGCCCTGCGGGCTCATGTTCCCGCTGTGCTGGGGCCCTCCTCCTCTCTCTAACTGGCCCCACCTCCCTCGACGCTGGTTCCCTTGGCCTCTTGCTTCGCCTCCGCCTCTCGACCCTGGGCTCGGGCCTCTCGCTCTTTGGCCGTTCGAATGCCCTCCTGAGCTGGGTCTGGCAGTCCTCCCAATCTCGAGCTCTCTCCCGGATCTGTCTGGCCACCGGCCTCTCTAACCCCCTTGTCCAGATAAGTAGGGTTTGTGCCCACTCCTCCCGCACAATCCCCTAGCTCAGCATATAATGCTCGTATGCGGGAATAAATTCCTCAGCGTTCCCCTCCCCTAATCGAATGCGCATGCCATTACGTCCTCTAGGGGAAGCTCTCAACCTCTGCATCCCGGCCTCCACATCTGGCCAAGTAAGGGCCTCCTCACATATCTGAGCAACAGGCTCCTCAAACCTCCCTGTACCCCTCAAGTGGTGAATCCTCTCCGCCACTGACCACCCTCTCTGTGCCGCATGATCCCGATACACGTCTAGGAAGAGCTCAATGTTATCGTCGTCGAACTCTAGCGTAGGCTCCCTCCTAGGCGGCTCATGCTGCTCGCCCCTTCCTGCTACCCTCTCGGGCCCCTGTCGTGGCCGTGTGTCCCTCCCGCCCCTCTGCATGACTGCCTTCGAAAAGTMAAACCTGCACAACAGGTGAGAGACAGCAAACAGGCACACAACAGGGTCAGCAACTGAGCCCATTGGCTTAGGGAAATCCCACATACACTCCACACCCATCCACCCCAATCACCCATCTATCTAATCA